GGGGGGGGAGATAAAAGCCAGAGAAAATAGCAGATTAATATCTCATTAACACCATTCAAATACTATAATTTTTACTAACTGATATGCAAAGAGTGATACATCCTAGCACAAGCTGCTACCACTGAAGCTCCTTCACATAATGTCTGTCTTGAAATCTCATCACAACATCATAAAAATGTAGCATCAGAGACTCCCCAGTCAAGCAAGGGGAGCTTTTCAGAGAGGGACAGGAAAACCATAGGCTCAGGAAAGGCTGTCAGCTGGAAACCATGATCCAATACTATAAATTAGCCTGTGTGGCTGAAATCCTGGCCACTTTTGAATCACAAGCTGTTTTGCCACAGCCTGTAGTGGAACAGGGTGGTTGCTACACTTTTCATGCTGTGCATGCAGTGGCATGGGGTACATGGCAGCCACAGTTTAGCTATGTGTACAGTGCTGTACTGGTCAGGCAAACAAGATTTCCATGTCTGGAACTGGCACCATGTGCCTTTCTGATAGAAGCAGACACCCAAATCCAGCAAGGACACCACCAGGTAACTGATGAGCAAGTTCTGTGCTGAGCAAAGTTAGTCCCTTCCACATCCCTAGAGAAGCATCTTGGGAATGGAGGAGCAGCCCTGTTTTCACCAGGACTACCCCAATTGTTTTAACTCAATCAGGAAAGGAAAGTATCTGCTACTTTCCAAGGAGCATTTAGCTCAACCTGAGCATCTCCATATGAAGCTACTAATTTGTAGAAGACTGCAAGGAGCAAACCACCACTGTTAAGTGATTTATACATTGTTCAGAATCGGTAATGTCTATTCACTTATAGTTACAAGCTTTTATGACGAGTGACTCCTGCAGTTCATGGTGGGGCATATTCAAATGATGTTAAGCCACGGTGCAGCTGCTCCTCACATTCTATTAGAAATCTAATTTTCATCTTAATTTTAGGAAACATCAGAAGTTCCAGCTGTCTGCTTTTTTCACCCAAAATAGTTTCTGGGATTTTTGAGCTTGAAAAGCTAGGAAGGAAAATAATCATCTGCACTGTCCTGGTACATGAAACACCATAGGCCTTCCCAGTACGATTCTGCCTCTAATGCAGCACTTGTGCTTCAGTCATGGAAGATCTTGTAAAAAAACACACAGCCCAAGAGTAGAATTCTCACAGACTGCGCTTGCACAGCCTTGTCTAGTAGAGAGCCACTCAGACCAACAGCAAGCCCTCTATGTGGCCTTGGATAAGGCAGGTTGGTTGACTTGCACAATCCCCTTGCTGGAAAGGTTTTTGGGGTTGGGTTGGGTTTTTTCTACCTTTAACCGGTTTTATTGCTGGTCTTGTTTCAAATTTTCATTCTTTTTCTTGAGCTGTGCACAGCATTTCAGGAACAATCAGTATGTGTCCTTCATTGGATTGTGGCTTCCAAGAGTTAAAGCTTGGCTTAGAAGTTTTGGTCCTTGGGGCTCAGCTCAGTCTGCTCAGTAGCACTAGTCATGCTAGCAACGTAATTAAAACAAAAAAAAACAAAAAAACAAAAAAGCTTAATGTTTCTTTTAATTATGAAGTACAAAGCATGTCCTTTGCCTAGGATTTTAATCACTATTTTCAACACTGATAGCAAAGCCAAGATTTTCCTTGTAGTTTTAAGTTTAGGTATCACCTAGAATGAGGTGCAGCCTAAACTACAAACCAGCCTTGTGGCAAAGATGCTGTATAGAAAGTATGCTCTTCAGCCAAGGAAGAAGGGAATGCTTTTTCCCATTTAAATTTTGTTTTATTAATTATGAAAACCACACACAAGGAACAAGTGGTGGTTACATGTCCGGAAACTATTCAGTTTAGCTTCCAGAGCTCAGTCTCTGCTTGTCCTCTCACTTCGATATCAAAAACTCCATGTAATTTGCCTGTCTCTGTAACCACAAGTGCAGTCTGAGTAGCTCAGATGGATTTACACAAACTTTGTTTGTAACAGATCAGTATCTTTTGCCAAACCACTTCCACAGCATTTATTTTCTAGATGAGGCAAAGTAAGTTAGCGCATACTGCTAGCTCAGTGGAGTTGTTTTTATCCTCTGAAATTATTATAAAGCTTGCTATATGTTACCACACAAAATTTGCAGTAACTAGCTATTCAGCATTCAAAGTGTTGTATTACCAGTGCTTGCTCTGCCTCACAGAAACCTTGCTTAAAAATAAAAACATGGTTTAATTCAATGTTGTTTCAAAGCAATTGCTAAAATTTGGTTACAAGGTGGCTAATGGGCACTGCAGCCTTGAAATAGGAGGAATACATACCCACTTGCACTTTTTCAGACTGCGTGTAAGTTAGTACCTGTGCACAGATGGGTTTGGAAATCCATTAAGTAAATTACTTCTGTAGTTCAGTCTACTGGTAGCGGAAGCATTGCCAAACCCACAGAAGCTAGGTTAAAATCTTTACTCATGAATGGTGGTCTGTAGATAGCAGAGGTAAAAGGCAAGTTTAATTGCTCTCGATTAAGATATTTCAGTTTTCACATAGGATTTCCCCATCACCCTGGCACTGCTAGCTTTAGAGACTATTAGAGTCTATCGAAGTAGTGTATACCACAGTATTCTCTCCAAACTAAGAAAAACCCAACAAATTCTTCAGTTTTTCCAGAACCTGCATTAATGCAGAAAAGCAGATTTGAAAGAAGTATCTGGGTTCTCAGCTACTGACCCCTTTGATAGCAGAAATTGTCACTAAGCAGTCAAGAGCTCATGGCTTATAGTTTGAAAAGATACTCAACATACACGTGCGAAATTTTAAGACTGAAATGCAGGACAATGGCAATTTTCCTCTCCTGGCAAGAGTGACTTGATACAAGGTCAAGACCCCATCACACATTTACACTTATATGGATTTGACTCCAGTAAGACTCCTGTATCAAACAGCAGTCAGTACAAATTCAGCACTAATTTCCAGTCAAGCTGAATGGAAAATTATTACTGCTGAATTCCACAGTAGGAATGAATAAGCAATAGTGGTTCATCAGCCACATAGCCAAGGGAGACGTGTCCAGTCCAAGATACACAGCTGCATTCTGTTCAGTTTTTAAGAGAGAAGGAAATGGCAGCCAAAAATCTCATGACCATTGCATAACAAGCTTAAGTCATTAAGTATTTTGACACTGAGGAGTATAGTATGGAATACAGACTTTTGACTAAGAAAACACAACGGTTCCAACTAGTCAAGCTGCCTGATCTGGTTCCCAGTTTTGCCCAGGACTTCCCAAGTGCCCAGGAACTGTTTTTGTCATCAACACATTCCAGGGGTTGTTGGTGCTTTAGGAAGTGTCAAGTACAACTGAAAGCAGAACAGAGTGGGGCCATTTAGTGCATTGGAAGAAATACTAGTCACATCAAGTCCTTGCCAACACACAAGAACTCTCCCTTGAAAAGTTCCACATTGCCAGGGTTTTTGGAGCACTACAGTATTTCTTTGTTTACTGCTGTTATTGTGCCATAGGATAATACAGAGGCAGAAGGACCAAGGCATGCCAGCCACAGGCTCATACTAAGTCTTTTTGCTACATGACCCACCTCAGCAAGGACACCAAAGTTCAGAAGCAACATTAACATACTGGAAGGGGAAACAGTGACACAGACACTTACCTAGCAAATTAATTTCTTAAAGTGCAAGACAAGCTAAGGATTAAAACTGGGAAATTTTAGGAAGAAATAAAAAGTGTAAATCTAAAAACCAACAGTGAACAAGAAATAAAAGCAGAGGCAGGACACAGATAAGTAGTAATGACTGCCAGGAGCTACTCTGACATAAAGTAAAAGCTGACTGAATAAAATGACATCATTTGTGTGCTGCAAGGCTCCAAGACATTGCTGTCACCCAATTTCTGAATGAAATTTGGCTGAGGCAGGCAAACTTAAGATCCCTAATGAGTCCTTCCATTCCTAGCTTACCAATTCTAACTACTTTATCATACAACTGTCTTCCAGGTGTTCTGCCAACAGAATGCCACTCATTAACTACGCAGACATTAATTACATAGACCTAAACCTTAGTAAGACATTTAGAAAGATCAAAGAGAAACTTTTTTTCAAGTATTTTATTTTTTTAATACAGATACAATATTTTTCCAAGGTCACTTCAGAGCAAGGGGCATACAGGCTATGAAAATGGAAGTGCCCATACAGTCATTTCAGGTTAAATGCACACAGGATATTCTACAATGCAAAACTGCATTTAGAGTTTTTTCTTGCTCCAGAATGATTTGGCAGCTTCAGTAAGCTAACACACATTTTCATCCTCAGAAATCAATTAACTGAACAACAAAACCCCAAACTGAAATGCAATCCACCCCAGCCACCACACAACATGTTTATCTCAGTAAGGACCTCTTAGCAGATCGGGCTGCAACAGTTGTGGAGCTGTCTTTATCATGACCCTCAAAGTACTGCTGCTCTATTCGCCGACAAAAGGCTGTAAGGTTACTGTAGTTTTTCACTTTTTCAGAGAGTTCATCAGTGGTTAATTGAGTAGTAAGGATTGTGAACAGATGTCCAAATACCAGAGCATCTAATTCAGTTGGTCTGTAAAAGCAAACAGAAAAAAGAACAGATATTTTGGAAGGCAAGCCCTGATCAATGAAACCTTGCTGTTCTGACTTTTAGTTGACTATGCAGTTTAAGAATTTGGAAGAAATCAGGCAACACTGAACTTCCCAAATGCATTAAAACTGTGTATACAGTATATAAGCATACTGCTAGTTCTCAGTATGACATCTGTTGCTTTTAGTAGCTCAGAAATGTGGAAGTAACACTTCTTAGATTGGACAGAGTTACTGATCCAGTGTCAGACCATGCTCCACCTCTTCATTCCGAACAAGGGCAAATGCTTATTAAGTCTTTTTTTTTTTTTTTTTTCTCCTCTGCACATGTATAAAACCACCCTTCAGCTATTATCACGCAAAGAAAATTTTGGGGGGGGGGGCAGAGCATACAACCCCTATTCGCTTTCTGTGCTTTTCAGCAGTGAGGAACTATTCGACCAATAGGAAAAGGAGCTTCAGGGTGACAGCAACTGGAAACATCTCTTTTGAAAGGAGACTACACAAAAGAAAACATGTATTTTGGGAAACAGTGGTCTACTGAATGTTTTCAGTCCTACCTTATCTTAGGTACAAACCTTCTGAATCGTCATCTTGGACCTTTATACATAGGTAGCCCATGTGCAAATAAATTTCTTTTTTCAAATATATTAATAATTTAAAAGTCCTTCTTTACTAGTGTTCAAGGTAAGCAGCATGAGGGTTTTCTACCTGATGATTTTTTTGCCTTTCTATTTGTGGATCACTAAGAACTCTCCAGTGGAGATGTGGACACATATCTGTCAGCAACAGGCCGCTTTTCTTATTTATCTCCTACAGATTCCCAGAAGTCACAGACTGAAAAATACTGGACCAAAACCACATATTTTCTTAGTAATATTTCAGACACCTGCTATGTTTAAGACTGATTTGAGAAGATGCAATTCAAACTTGTCTTCTATAATGCGTATTTATGCAAAGACACATGCAGAAAAGTAACCAAGACCACGTGCTGCATTTTGAAGACATTTCCCTGTCTAGATGTAGTTAACTGAAGTCTTAAGCATTTCTAGTCTGGTCTATGCACAGGAGACAAGAGGGAGCTAATGTGATGTTATTTAAATCCATAATGCTTCCAAAATAGTGAATTATTGGAGAGGGAAAAAAAAGTGGTTTGCAATTGGAAGAAACTGGTGAAAGCAGAGGACATCCACAAAGGCCAGGTTGTTTCTTTTTTCTCCTGGGAACATGAATCTTAGTTATATCTTTGCAACTGATCCCTTGTTGATACAAGGCTAGCTTCTCCCCCAGTTCTTGCAACTCACAGGCACCCTCATTCTCATTCAGTTCAGTCAGAACTGCTCCTGCTGTTAAGCAAAGCAAAACAAGCTGTCCTGGTCAGGACAGCATGACATACATTCACAACCTGTACCTAGCAGGAAATGTTACCTAAGAAATACAAATAAAGCTTTAAATGCACCATTTTTAATAAGAAACTAACTGTATGAAGTTGTACATTTGTAGCCTACCTAAGTTGTGGTAGACAAGACAAGACAAGCAGGAGTAAAACTAAATCATAAACAGAAACAAAACAACAACAAAAAACTTACACAAACTTTCCTTTTAAAACCTTCAATTACTTAATTCTGAAATTTCCTATTTATATTCCAGTCACACATTTGTATGTCCGCAACTAATCATGCAGCATTAAAATAAAATGTTTTCATATAGATACACACGCATCTATGTATGTATGTACGGATGTGGATATATGTATCTGTATCTCACATTCCTGGATGTAATATTTCAGGAAATAGTAACTTACTGCTTATTGAAGAAATATGGTTGTGTTCCTAATCTCTGGGAGAGAGCCTGACAACACTGATCTACATCTTCAAGCACCTATCAAAACACACAAGAGATAAAAGACCCATGTTGTCAGGAAATAACCAACACTTCAGAAAACAACCTACTTACTCTATTCGCACTGATGGTGGGAACAAGGAACATACAGTGTTGGAACACCAAAGCTGTTAAAGACAGTTAAACCTACACAGTAGGCAGGTAGCTAAGTCTTACTTAAGCTAACATTTGATGTAAGACAATTCTGAGTAAGTGCTTCCCATAAAATTTATAACTTAATGAAAGTTACTAACTTATACCTTAAAACTGCTTCACTTTTTTTGTTTGTTTGTTTTTAAGACCTCTGACAAGGGAAGCTGCAGTCTTGCAACGCATGCCTATTAATGCCATACAGGAACTAGGGGCCATAACTTACAACCTATTTTCAGGACTATGGCCTAAACTAACATCAGTGGAGATGTACACTCATGGTAAAACATATTTCCTCCCACCCCATGGGGTTGCACATAATTTAAGATTTATTGATGCAGAAGCAAATACCTGACTCCAGATAACGTTTTGAGTACAGAATATATTTTTACATCTGTTTGAAGAAAGTGTTACTCTCCAAAGTGGTTTTGTTGTTTTTTTTTAAAAAAAAAAAAAAGAAAAATAGAACAGAGTAAAGAAATAAGCTTCCCTTTTCATACTGACCTGTTCAAGCGTCTTTCCAGCCCATCCAATGGCTTTCATCTTTCGCCTTACCTCCCACTGCTTCTGATAGGACAAAATGCGGTTAAGAGGCCATGGGTAAGGGGAGCCATACCTTGGGTGCGTAATCTTTGTTTAGAAACAAAAAGGTACTGTGTTATCATATAAGAAAATATAGATATCTCTATGCACAAAATAGCCAATATTGAAATATTTCTATCAGAAAGGGAGCTGTAAAAGAAAAAGGGAATTGTGTGATATGCTGTAATTATTTGCACAGAATTTACAGTTTGCAGCATAACCATTTAAAACTACTACTTCAGAAACACATACAAACCCCATGTCTATTCTGCAGTAAGCTACCTCCAGTAATGACATAACTTCCCTAAAATGTATATGCAAGCGAAATTAAAGTGAAAAGTCTGTAACATTAATGGTATAAACCTCAATGTTTCATTTATGAGTAGGGACTTGCAACTGTGAGCAAAAGTGTTTTCTCATTAAATTTTAATTATGATAAATGCTGCAGAACCACTCACCTCCTCTACTGTAACATCATCACACCATTGGAGATAGAGCTAGGAACAGAAAGAACACTTACTAAAACTTCCAAATAAAGGAGAATGCAGAGACAATCATTTCTCAGTCATAGAATTTTCTTTTCTATATTAGATTACATTTTCATTTCATTCTTTCTGTTAGACCTCTGAATGTAGAAATGAAATTAAAAGTGGAAGGCAAAAGCCCAGTTGCTAGTCGTTACTTCACCAGCACTAGGACCAAGCCGAGACCGAAGGCCCACTCGTGTTGCCCACACAGAACACAACTCAGAGCCCCGGTTACCAGCCCGCAGCTCCTCAGCCACCTGCAGCTCGCCAGCATTTCCAACACCACTCCCACACTGGGACTGCGTCACCTTAACCAGCCACAAAGACAAACCGCAGAGGATCTCAGCCTCCCACTAGGTGCGTGAAGCACGCGCACTGTGGAAGGTGGTAGTGGGGTAGTGATGGCCAGCTCTGGGCTGGGGCAGGATCCCAGGAACCACTGGCATTTTCCAGAAGGTTACTTCTCCAGCTACATGACACACTTCAGCAAGGCAAAGGGAATCATACATGTAGCTTGTGTCTACAGGAACACTATAGCAAGCAGTCCACAGGGTACAGAGAATTTATTTCTGCCTCCTTTCACCTCAAAAGTTGTCAACCTATTCTAAGAATATGCAGCATTTCCAATATAGGGAAAAATCCTAAAGCCTTCTTGCCTATAGTCACTTATGTGTGTGGAGTTACTATGGTTTGCGGTACCTCTGCTGTCAAGAGCATATTATTGACTAATTCCATGTAGGCTTTCATCTCAGCTTTTTGGACTTCATCCAACCCATCACTGAGAGAATGGCCCTAATGGGGAAAAGAGGAAAAAAAAAAAAAAAAAAAAGAGACACACACATATGTAAGGAAGGATATTGGAATATTCAGCAATGCCTGATCCAAGGACCTCTTAAGTCAGTGAGCTTTGGCTCAGATCCTGATCTCTTACACAGTTCAATAACAAATTACATATGCAATTTTTACATACAATATCCTTTAGAAATAGAGACCATTGTAATATAACATAACAAGAAACATAAACTATTATCAGTTATAGATGAACACAGTTTGAGCACACAGCCTCCTGGTTAATATATCTCTGTGGCAAGAAGTAAACACAAATTTACATCTGTGATATAGCTTTATCAACTGCTCAGTGAAAAGACAGTATTTTTTAACAGGGGGGGCAGGGAGGGGAGAAAAGGCACATTTGAACTGTATCTGACACCCAAGGACTTAAACCACTAAGGTCTGGGTTTAAGAGCTCTGAGGTCCAGAGACAGGGCATGTAGAAAAGCAGTCTCAGAAACTGACACTGATACACAACTATCTTGCATAGAATTTACTTCCAGAATTTGAGTAAATGACACAGAAAAACATTTCCATCTCAACAAACTCCTATTCCAGGATATCTTCCTTTTAAAAGAGCACTAGATTTCTATACTGTTTTAACAAATTAAGTAACATTCCAGAAGAGCACACCAAATCAGCACAATGCTAAGCAGGATTAACATGCTATTCACTAACTGATGAAAACAATGTACTATTACCTTGGCTTTTACAAACTGGACTATGGGCCCAAGTTCTGATACTACTTGATTTCCCACATGAATAAAGGGTACTTTGCCTGTAAAATGAGAAATGTATTTTAGTAAGAGCTTTTTATACCTGTAAAACATTATTTACAATTTTCAAAGCAATTAAATATTCCAGGTACACCTGAACATTAGTGGTTTTTTTCAAATCAGCACAGATAAAGCTCTAACATATACAGCTCACCTAGCAAACATTTGTAATAACAAATACCTTCCTCCTCCTGAACCTCCTCTGCATGCAGTATTTACAACTGTATATTTCAAAGTTATCGAGTGAGATCAATTGACTTGTATTTTAATAATGGATTTTGCTTTGCTGGAAAGACTTAATTCAGTGTTTCTCTGGAGTACAGCTGGGAAATCCCAGGAAAGCAGACAGAGCCCTTAGCTAGTTTTACAACACAATGCGTTCCCACCCTCCCTTCTAACACACTGGCAGGGAAAGAGCTGCTGAAAGGATGACAGGAGATGTGGCACTGTGCCCAGGAAAGCAAGCAGGGAGAAGCACAAACACACATTCAGCAAGGCTGGGTCTTGACTCTCCTTCCCCTGGTCCTTCAGATTCCAACGGCTGGGCCAGCCAGCTCCTGTTGGCTGCCCCAGTCTCCACTCTCTAGTTGTGAGCCGGCATTTTTGAGCCCCTATGGGCCTGGGGTCAGGAAGAGGTTCACTGTATGAGACCCAAAGCTTCACTATCTGGGAGGCTGGGAGAGGGAAGGAGCTGCTTCATCACAGAAACAAAATGGGGTTAAAGCTTAATACTAGTGAGGCTCAACACTCTCTTCTAGAAACGGAGCCCTGAGGGACCAGCATGGAGCAAGGCCAGTCCTCAAAAGGAGACTGGGAAATGACTGTGTCACTGGTGGAACTTGTGGGGGTACGGAGGGCTTCCGAGTCTGTACGCACCACCTTCTCTGCTTGGTAACTTTTCCTACATGCAGAACTGAGCCAAACATTTAAGGCAGGCAGAGATACAAGGAGGAAGCCCTGTTACACACAACAAGCCATGAAGCACAGCAGGAGTTGCCTTATGCCCCTTTTCCCAGCTCTCAACATGTGAAGCTGAAGGCTTCTGCCAGGAAGGTTCCAGCCAGGTTGCTTGTCCTGCAACTCTTCATCCAAGTGCAACTGACAAACATCAACCTTATATTTAAGACTAAATCTTTGGGGATTATTTTCATGATTGAAATAATCCATAAAATTGAGATAAATTATGGATGTTTTGTATTACTGAAAATATCCTCAAGACCAAAGGCAGTAAATGAGCCTGTCCAGTGCAGTGGGGCACAGCACCCTTTTACCTTCCCACCTCTTGCTGTGGGCAAACTGCTCTCGTTAGACAGCCCAAAGAGCAAGATCAGTACCTGTGTGATTCCAAATACATTATCAGCAATACATTCACCCTTTCCACTGAAACATAAAAACCCCTACTTTTCATCCTGGCTCTAACACTGTTCATGCAAACAGCAGATTCAGCCATGGTTTTTATCATGAGATTCACTTCTCACTGGCTCAAACAGCCTAAGGGTAATAAATGAAGTGCATCACACCAATAAAGGCTTCACCTGCATCCACATGCTGCATGTTGCAAAATGAAACACAGACCTCTCTGCTGCAGAATTCAGTGGTTTCAGTCAGACTGTACTTCACACATCAAGACAATCCTTTTGTATCATACTTTTGACTCCCTCAAATGGGTTTTGTAATTACAACAACTTATGAGATAAATAACCTTCCCCCCAAAACGATGAGATGCAGATCTTTGTCTGCTGTTGCTGTGAGACAGAGGGTGGTGGGGAGGAAGAAGGGAACAAATGAAAACCTTGTCTGAATTATCATTAACAGAACCAATATAAAGAAATGAAATGGGGCAAGTGAATAAAAATAAATACTCCAGGAGTAATGGCAAAAAGAATAAATGTATTTCTACCTACATTTAAAATTGAAGCAGTATCATTTTCCCTCTTGTCCCCCTCGTTTTCAGCAGAAGTTAAGTGTTCAGACCCAAATTACAACATCAGATGCCAGCATGTGGACATGGGGTGCGAGTGGCAGAGAAGCAAGAGCGTGCAATAGTCCTACTCCTGCACATGCAGGATGCTCCTCTGTGCATGGATTCAGCCTTTCAAAGCTACCTTTATTTACTAAGGAGTAATTTAGACACCTCCATATTTTGCTTTTTTTTCACTGCTGCTAAGCAACTGCTTTTTTTTTTTAAATTCCACTGCTTTGACCAAAATATCAGTAGCAGCAGCAGAACCCATACAGCTGGCAAACATATACTGACAAGCACTTCCATGTGGCAGTCATCAGCCAGGGCCAGGTAATCGGTAAATAAGTACTCCTCACACAATAAAAATCTGGGACAGAGTGAGAGGATTGACACTTTTGCACCTTGCATTCAGCAATTCTCTGATTTTCAGGCAACCTTCTGAAGCCAACCTCTGGATGTTTTTACGCAACCTGACATCTCCAGCAAAAGGTATGCTCTCTACCTTTCTAATATTTAATTTGTTGGTGGTGGGTTTGGATTTTTTTCCAGACAGTCTCACAGATCAGAGAAAGATTTAAAATTGCCCATCACCCTTAAAAGCGACAACGGACCCTTCAGTCTCCTCCTGTATCAACATCCTGGCAATCATCTCCCAGATAGAGTAACAAAAGATACTCCTTCTCTGGTGTTGTCTGACCTCAGCAATAGGAAAATATAACAGCATTCACTGGAATATTCCCTGGATGAAGAATAAAGCCACTTTTAGAAACCTCTTTCTGCTTCAGGACACAACCATGCTCAGGCATCTGAGAGAAGGTTTCCACCAGGCATTATGAACTATCTGAATGCTTTATAAAGGGACTGCATTCACAGGCACAGTTACACATTGTGCCATCGTTACTTTGCATTTGACTGTTTTAATTGCTTGCAGAGAAGAAACTGCACTGGAGAGGAGGGGGGAAAGGTAACCCACACATGGTAGCACTGACCGACTGTTTGTTATCAGCAAGACAAGACCTAGTTGCCATGGTATCAAAATGGAGGTATAACATAGTAATCTAAATGAAGGCCACACTTACCAGATGGGGACATGTACTCAGCATTTGCCCTGCAAACCACCCGGATTGGCAGATTGCACATTTGCAGAAAGGCCTGGAAACAAAGCGTCACATTTAAAAAGCATTAATACACCAGTGACAAACAAGCGTGTTCTTCTCAATCTATTTGACTATGTTTTAGCTAGTTCCCAGCACACGCTTATGAAGTACAGCTCCTTGCATATTGCTTTTTTAGGAAGAAAGAAGGGTAGGTGAAAGAAAAACAGGGGGTTTTTAACTTCCTTAGACAACTGTTTATCATCCAGTCATTGACTGGAATTCTTCCAATGAAGTTTCATCTGTTTTTACCATTTTTCCAAGATGAGCAAAGAAGCAGTATCTGACAGACACAATTAATGCTGTGGCTGTACAAAATTACATTTTACCCTTCCTGAAAATCATAGTACTTACTGGTTCTGGCTAAAGCTGGCTAATCAAGTTCACGTTGTGTAACCTGAAAAACACATGTAGCACCTTCCCACATTATATTTACAATAGCTGCTGGAAGTTTTGCTCTATGATACTGTCAGAGCACAAGTCTGCTTTGGGAGAAAGTATTTATCATCTTTAATTTATGTGAATCATGGAGAACATAACTGGTTAATTTACTGTTTCTATCTAGAACCTTAGATTCAAAGCATTCTCAGGAAGATACTGATTTTTGTCAGCACCTGCCATCACCACAAAATCTTTAGTGTGTTTCCACTGAAGTAACAAAATACCAAGAAAAATACTTGCAATTTGGACAGAACATGGCAAATAAGGTAACTCTTAATCTCTAGAGTCTCTCACAATTCAGCTAAGTCCTATCGTTCATTTTGTCTTTGCAATAATGACAGGTCACAATTCCAGATTCCAAAATTATACCTATTTATCCACAGTGGGTTGAGGTGATAAAAGCCAACAGAAAGAAGCCTACGCCATGAAAAAAAATGCTGCTGCAAAACAGCACTTTCTACATGAGCCTCCTCCTAGCTCTTCAGGTTGCAGGATCTGGCAGTAAGCTGCACTCTCACAGCTTTAGATACTCAGACCCTAATCATAGACATCAAAGTAACCTAAACTTTAACCTTGAGATTGCTCACCTCTGCACTAAATGTGACCATAAGGCATGAACTAACACTGGCATCAGCCCTGTTCCTAACTTTCTGGCTTCTATAGTATCCATCAAGAAAACAAAAATACCCCAAACAGCCCCTCTCCTCTCTCCTGCACTCTTCAAGTCCTTTATTCCCAAATTCTAACCCAATCCAGGGAAAAAAAGCCAAAAGTTTTGGTCCTTTTCCAACCAAATCCAAGAACTGCACAGTCCATTATGACATTTGGCTCTTGCAGGTTTAGATGACATAATTATCCAAATCCCAATTTAAGCAAGGAACTATGGTCACAAACTGCTACCCAAGACATTGATTACAGCTGACAAGAGCCCGCCTCAGAACTGCAGAGGCTCTGCAAAACCCACCGGAAACCTGGGGTTCTACATCTTCTGACTTCCTCAGCCTAACTCTAACTTAAAAGCACTGCTTGGGAGTCAATACACATATACATGCAGACAGAGAGACAGATATATAGAGAGAGAGGGTACTAGTCATGGTTAACATAAGCCAAATACTGCAGGTCCTGCACTATTTAGCAATAAACTGGTCTCTAGAGTGCTTCAACCCCACTAGAATCTCTATTACTGTTTAAGGATGCAACTATCACCCTAAGAAAATACAAGGTACAGGCCACATTTGACATCACCCCACTTTCTAATTCTGTGCACCCATCAGAGTCCAATAAAAATTGAGGCTCTTGCTGTCTTAGCATCCCAAACTCCATGCCAACAGCAGGAATACCCAAAGGACTAATTCTTAAACAGAAATTTAATGCACTGGTCTGTCTCAGTCCTAGATCTCTTCTCCTTTGCCTGCTGGCTCTGCAGGACCTGGCAAAGTCCAGGCTGTTTCAGCTACTGTTATAGGCAGCATGACTCTGCCCAAACTGGGGCTTCAAATGCAGCTTCTTCAGAAATAGTTAAGAAACAAGAACACAGAGACTTTGGTTTAAATTAAATACATGCTCCTATGCCATTGTTGGAGACGATCTAACCCACCAAAAACATGCACTCTAACTCAGCTGGTACACAGACATTGTTCTTCTGAAATCTCTACCAGTAGCTAACAGCATCATCTCAACACTACTTTGCTGCAGTGGAGCTGATGGCACCAAACAACAGCTCCAAAGAACTTCAACTTTGGCTGGGAGGAGAGGAGTGAACTTATACCACACTACTTAATCCTTAGCTGTTGAATTTAATCTGAAAAATAAGTGGCTTCATTTGGTGTAGGCTTCCCAAATGAATTTCTTTCACAGTAAGGCACTATATTAACTCTGCAATTCTGCATTAAACCAGAGATTAATTTTGTAACTAACTGCCATGTACTATTCTCACTGCAAGTTCAGAAGAAAAAAAGTCTGAACTGCACTGGAGTTAGGGCAACACATGAATAACTGAAAATCTTTTAAGTGCAGAGACACATTTAAGCAAAAAAAATATTTTTACTTTTTCGTATCAGTGTGTCAAAAGGGAGACTCACTGGCACAGAATACTTTGGTTACATGAGTTGCTTCAGCAAATTATTGCCTACTGTACATCATATTGTACACTGGCTCTTACACAGTACAAGGTTTCTACCAAAACCACAGTTGGTGACTGAAAAAGTCCTCAGCATAGAGGCTAAACTATAAATAAAATCTTTTCAATGTGAAGAGTTCAGCCAAGTTTCCATCAAAAATCTGAACCTGACCTTTCTCTCTCTCCTTCTCAATAAACATCCACAGACCAAGGAATATTGACCTCTATTACATTTGGCAGGGAAATTCAACCTCAGACTCTGGCCTACTGCAAAGGGGATTGAGAATACGTTGCCATATTGATATCACAGAAATGCAAACACACTGCATCCACATGCCTTTTTTGCATTTCATAAAGGAAAGAGGAGATAGGAGGCTGAACTAGAATTGACATATAATGTGGGAACAAACTAAATAAAAACATTTGCTACTCTGCATAATAAACTGCAGATTCTAGTAAGCTTAGAAATAAGTCAGTCTACCCTCAGTGAGGTTAAAAAAAAAATCTGGAAAAAAAAATTTAAAGACCCTAAACACCAAATCAAAAAAACCTAAGAAAACTTCCTTGGAATAGTCATCTTAAGTTCTGATGAACGCTTCATAGATGGGAGACCAGGACTGAGCTTGAGAAACTGAAGAGTGATTTAGGATTAAAACTGGGCAAATCCACCCAGTTCTGCATTCATCCCAGCAGTCCTGCTGTGAGGTTCAGAAACACTGACCAGTGGAGCTGCCTCTCCAGCAGCCTTACAATGCCTGTGCCAAAAACCCCCTTCAGTACTCACGTGCCAACACCTATTCCACTTCACCTTTGTCTATATTTAGCATCGACTTAGATTAGCAGATAAATAGAAATGAAACACAAAACCAAGAGAAAACAGAACAGTGAAAGAGTTGAAGACAAAATCATTTAATGCCATACAATAAACCTAAAAATAAAATAAAAAAAAATATTAAAAACTGCTATTATATCTTTAAAAAGATGTAAACCCAGGGAATTAAAAGACTAATACGTTGAGTTGTAATTTGTATCCAAAGCATGACCTATTAAATTTTAAGTGCTCCTTATATATTGTTCTGCAGGAAAATGAAGGAAAGCTCCACAATATAAAAGAAGTTTAATCCTTACTGGATCTACACTGCTGAACTAATCGTTACCTAGAAAAGTAGGTCAGTATCCATTTCTTGCTTCAGCTTAAACTAATGGTCCACTGGATAGCCTTCAAGTTGACTAAAAAATACACATCAACTGATAAAAGGAGACAGTATTATCCCAGACTATGAAAGCTGAGCCTAAGAAATCAGCCTTACAATTTGCATTGCTATGAGAGTACTTACATTCTTTCACTGATGTAACTGACAGGCTTTGGAAATTATTAACAACACAGGTGTTTTTGACTTTTTGAGCACAGTGAATGCATTTCATATTTATGGAAATTATGGTTTCTTTTAGAAAAAGAGATGGACAAGGATCATGAACAATGCATTTTTACAAATATCCACTGCCAGAAAATTCTTTTTCTGATGCATTCAACCAGATAAATTAGATTTTAGAAAATAACTGATGTTAGACAGTAAGTGGCATGAGCTATTACCAAAATAGTTGAGATTGGCACAGATCAAAGAAATCCTACAGAGACAATATAGGACAAAGCAGCAATTTTTGTGAGTCTTTATCTCATTTAACGCTTTAGCCCAGTGATCAAGGGAGGATTTGTTCCCTTTTTGACCACTCATGTAGAATGTCAAGAACCAGCACATCTGGTGTGCAGATGGCATCAGACTGCCTTGACTTCCAACTCTGATAAAAGATGTAGTAGAACACTGATTATTCCAGCTCAGAGCATTGAATATTTGAACAAGCAAGTAAACCCTTGCTTTTCTTATGAGAGAAACTATCAACAAATGGGAGTGATCTCAGCTCCTCTGAGTGCTTTTGGAGTGAAGGGCAAGAGATTGAAGGCTGAAACCACCCCAGTGCAGTTCTGCTGAGATTTATGAAGATATCAACACCCCTTCAAAGACACAGCATCAAAAGCTGAGCAATCTGAAAGATCAAGGGTCCAGGCTTATTCTAGTACATCAGAGATTATTGTTAACACCGTAAATTTGGCTGATCAACTTAAAAAGGGACTGAAAGGGGCCAACTGAATTCCAAGTGAAACATAAGCTAATTAATCAAGCTCCTGCAAAAATTCACCTGAAAATGGTAAGCAAAGCGGTAACAGCAAAACTAGAAACAAGACACTTAACTGAACACAGCCTGTCATAGTTTTGCAAAGATGCTTGCAATTCCAAAGAACAGCATTACATTTCCTGCTCTTTTCTCCTCTGGAAAAAAAAATGTACTAGCACAGAATGAACAGGGTGACTATTGTAGGCCAGAACCTGGATCTCCTCCAGCACCTAGGATTCTCATGCAGTAATTGCCATAATACT